GCCGCCGGGGCTGGCTGTGTCTGTAACTGAGGGACCAGGGCCACCTCTCCCTGCACTTGTCAGCCCGGCCTCCCTTCTTGAACTCGTGTGCCCTGAGGCGGCCTGCCCACGATGGCCACCTGAAAGAGAGGTACAAGACAGTGAGGCCCAGGGGCCAGGACAAAGTGAGGAAATTCACAGCCTCTCGTGGAAAAGGCTCAAACCCAAAGCTAGCCAATAAGCTGTGTGTACTTGCAAAACAAAACAGCGCAGCTTTGTTGAGTCCCTGGGAGCAGAACTGCCCCGTGGGGGCTCCGAGGCAGTTACCTTTTATGGCAGCAGACCGGAGGCCTGTGCTTGTAGTGCTGCTACTGGCGGGTGGGGGCTTTGAACCGGCTAGTAGTCAAGTCAATCCAGGGGACCGTAGGTGCCGGCTACGGCACAGGGTCCCTGTGAGACCCTGCGCAGCCTGCCTGCAGTCTTGTAAGTCAGGCCGAGGGACTGGCAGCGACTCCTGAGGCTGGCGCTCTGGCCAGCGCTGCCCTCGGACACCCCATTCCTGCCTTCCATGCTTCAGAAGGTCCAAGTAAGCAGCCCTCTGCTGGCCTGGTTCCCTGGGTCTGGCCCAGCAGGTCCTTCCTCCCGGTAGCTTGTTCCTGTTCCTCTGTGAGACCCCAGGGCGTGTTGCGGCATGATGGGACACAGGGGCCTGAGAGCCAGGAGCAGCGTGTTGTACAGGCTCTGCTCACCAGGGGGCAGGCTTGTGGAACCGGAAAGGGGACACTGGGCAGATCCCACACACAAGGACCCGAGAGAGACTAGCCGAAGTCTACTGCAGGAAGTTTTTCTCCCTCAGCTGTAGTTTCTCACACATCACGCTTTCATACTTGTTACCAACTGCACACACCTCTACCCGCCACCCTGTTGTGGTGAGCCCGCTGTGCCGTGACACGGGTAGGTGCGTGGTTTGAGCTGGGCGGGGGAGGGAGGATGCGGTACTTGAAAGTCGTGATCCTGGCCAACACTGTCAGCACCAAGTTAGTTTCCACAGCTGGCCCCCCGCAGGGCCGTTAGTCTGGTAGGTACCGACATTAGGGCTTGTGGCAGGCGCGGCAGTGGGGGGTCTT